CCGCCACCAGCACCACCAGCACCACGATATATACTACTATCTCATTGTTACGCTTTTTTCCTATCCTGCTCCCATACCCAGTCAGCCTCGGGAGGACAGCTGCTGGCAGACAATCGCAAGGCAGGCAGACCCGAAGGCCGCCATGGCCGACAAAACATGATCTTGACATCGGGGTTTCCGAAAATTGGGAGTCCCTTTGTGGAGGTCCCTAATCATAAGGATTATAGTATACAAAAGGGTTGTGTAGGTTTACCACATTTTTGGGAAAGCCACTACATGCAGCAGAGCATAACTCTGGGCCCCTCCCAGTGGTCTTAGGCTTCACAACATGCACAGCTAGGAGTTGCGGATCTCTTGGGCGCTGGTCATGATTTTCGGCATCAGGTGAAGGGCCGTGACTTTCGAAATGCCTGGATGGGATCGGCAGGTTGGTTTGGGCTCACAGCTGATGCGCGGAAATTTCAAAGCACACCGCCAACAATCAGGCAAGGCTAAATCACAAAGACGCAGGCAAAGCCCACGCACGTCTTTTGAACTCACGTTGCAACCTAGCCCGTGTCAGTCCAGAAAACAACATCCACCGCAATGGGAAAGTGATCCTTAGATGTCATGTCATGCCTACTTAACCTGTCCCTAACTAACTTGGCAAAAGTGTTCCGCGCATTTTACAACTCGAGACCAGAGAAACGAGCACCAGCATGCGTTGGTGAGCTTCTGAAGCAAGTGATAAAAACTTTCACTTACAAAGAGTCCCAGGTGCTGAGGGCCAGCGTCCCGAAGCCAGGAGGGTGGGCAGAGGCGATTGGGGCGCAGTGCCGTAGAAGGACCGCAGCCAAGCACGGGAGGGCAAAGGAAGTCGCCGCTGTACCCAGGGCCCCTGATGGCCCTTCCATGCATCCCAATAACCTGCATACTTCAGTCTTTGAGCTTAAACTTCACGTATGCAAGTCTGATGTGCTTTGGAACCACCTCCTGAGGAACGAATCCAGCAATAGTCGATGATCCTGGGTAGGGGCGGTCACGCAGATTCCCCGCGCAGCTGACTGGAGCAGGCAAAGTTGTTGTGACTGTATAATGATGCTACATTCTTGCTGAGGCTCTCCGCAAAGCCCTGCCCATCACGCGCCAGCGCGTTGGTTGTTGTGACAGCACCGGCATCCCCAAATTGCCTCTCCAGGTCCTAACAGGCAGAAAAGCCCAAAGTCCCTCCCTGATGCTGCAATAGCAGGAATAACAAAATAGTAATGATAACAGTTATAATAATCATAGAAATAGAAATAATATGATAAACTTGGGAAGCAAGGGATGAGCAAGCCAACCGCTTTCTGACGTGCCAACCGTGCGCCTGATAAGCTGAGTAGAAGTACTGGCTCACAAGACTGTGCGTAGGGCTCTGTGGTGTCATGTTGAAATCACCGCCTCGGACAAGTCTGCGTTGGACAAATGTCTGCTGAAGCCAGGGCCTAAGGTCTCTCATGCTGCTTGGGCACAAATGATCGTGTACTCGTTCTGGTACGTGAGCAATGTATTCAGCAGCACAAACGCCTGCACGGATAAAGGTCTAGGATACCCTCAACACGCCGTCTGCATCCTTTGCTGTCAAGCGCTGACTTCATCTTCAGAGCAAAGCAGCCCTCTCTTGCGGCCTGATGTGTTCGCAAGTCCTCTCGCGTGTCATTCCACGCTAGATGCGTGGTGGCCACCAACACCTGAGTATATCATTACCGCTCAGCACTTAGAGGCGGATATATGCTTATACATGGCAAAACCACAGGCAAATATCAAGCCACCTGGTCGAGTCAACTTAAACTTGGCCGAAATGCGGTCCATCCCGCAGGTGCATCCGTGGGCTGCAGCTCGACCAGCAACGCCACCTAAACATTCAAAAGCATCTGCCGCAACATGTGTGGGAGCCATGCAAACGACAATGGGGCGTCAGCGTGACCACTCGGATTCCCGTCCTCTTGCTGACAGGTCTGGGGCGGTGGAAAGTCATCGTAGTATAATGGCTGCTGCCTCGCAAAGTCACAAAATTCTAACAGTAGCAGTGGCCAAATGAGGATGCAAACTGACCAAAGTAGCATACAAGCCCTATATGACCCATATACACTAGCTTCCATTTCATGTTCCATCGTCTTTTCCATTTGCTTCTCCACTATTCCCCAAACCCTAAACCCTACCCCTGCCTGACAAGGGTGAAAGCCTCGCGTTGCCATGCGATCAGACAGCCATCTTTACGGTCGAGTCCATTAGCCCGCTTGGGACGCTGAACGGACCTGAGAGCAATCGGGGAGTATATATATGTATATAAATAGTAACAATGACAATGCAACGCTTGAAACAAGACATATTGTCACCTCTCTTCTAGATTCCGCAGTAGAAATACTGCTAGATATTAAGAACACTAATCGCAACAATGATAACCGTAACAGTGATAGTACGTATCGTAATACTAATCAAAATATGAAGGCAACTCATACAGGACATGCTGGCATCAATGCAGCACATGCATTGCTCAGCACTTAGGCATGGCTTTCTGCAGACGGCTGGCGCAACCGCGTAGGACGACCTGTTGGGTCAACACAGGTTCCCGACATGCTGCTGTGCCACAAACCACGCCCCTTCAGCATGTCACTGTATAATTCCTTGTATCCTGCTGTTTGGACTTACTGGTGGTTAGTAGGGACAAACATGTACCCTAACTTAGGGAACCCCTAAACCCTAATCCCTATAAACCCCAAATAAGCCCTATATGACCTCTTTATCCCTTATAATCCCTTTAAAGGTCTCCCTAATCCTTGGGAAACCCTAAACTCGAAACCCTAAACCCTAGATACTAAACCCTAAACCCTAAACCCTAGATACTAAACCCTAAACCCTAAACCCTAGTTACTAAACCCTAAAGCGAATCCAAGCGACAGGCCCAGCTCCTCCAAAGGCCGATCGAGCTCGATCTGTGGCCAGATGCACCAGAACTTCATCACCACTTATATGGGGTTAGGGTGATATAGGCTTATATGGGGGTTTCCGGAAATTATGGGTACCATTTTTGGGGTCCCCATAATAAGGACTATAATATTTTGGGGTCTATATTGGGGTCCCCTTATTTTGGGAAACTGCCACATATATGTATACATATATCCGCAAGCATGGAGACTCGTGCCTTTTGTAGGACTCAAATAATAAAGACCCTCTTTTGGAAACCCCCCCCGTATGGCAGGATGCCCGAAACATGCGCAGCCGACCTCCTGGAGGCACAGTATAGTTGGGGCAAGAGCATGCAGCACCGTCTTGATTTGCATGGCCCTGCGAGGCCATCGCAATGCTTCCGGGTCGACATCCTGCCACAAAAAAAGCTAGCGAATCATGGAACTCCTGGCACCCTGCTTTGCATGGGCAGAAATAAAAGCTACTGCAGGGAATAACTTTGGTCCGGGTCCTTGAAGAAGGACCCCGAGCAGTATGACGGTGCCAGGAGGTTCCAAGACACGACACGCGCACAGCAAGTGCCAGAACACTCTATGGTGGCCTCTGCAGACATCTGTACATGAAACAAAAACAGCAAATAATCTTCCTAATGGTGATGATGGTGATGATAAGATAGTAGTAGTAGTAGTAGTAGTAGCAGTAGTAGTAGCAGGAGTAGTAGTACTACTGCTACTACTACTACTACTACTACTACTACTACTACTACTACTACTACTACGACTACTACACGCGTGTTGCATATTTGGTGGTATGTTTTTTGTGATTCAGGTG